GTTTTTTATCTTAAATAAATCTTTTGAAACTTTTAAATTTATTATTTTCCAAATTAAGAAAGATCTTTGACTAAAAAATGAGACTAAATTTTTTTTATGTTATAAATCGATTCCTTTTTTAAGGTAATATTTTCATTAAAATCTGACAAGTGGATCACATGATATTTAGGTTTTCATAATTTTGAGTATAGACGATTTGTACTGTATTAGTATTAGTATTAGTATTAGTATTAGTAGTATTAGTATTAGTAGTCTGTTCAAAAAAAAGTTTAGTTGACTATTTTAGTCGATTCCAACCTCTAGTGAAAATAAAAATTTGAAGCAGCCGGCAGCTTGCTTTTTTTCAAAAATAGCTTGGACTGGTCAAAAAATTACAAGGAATTTCTAATAATAGAAAAATTATAATAACTAATTATTTTATTGTGAAAACCAATTATTCAAAAAAATTTTTTAAAAATCAAAAATATGTACAAGAATATTATTGCCTTGCCAACAAAAATGTAAAAATTTAAATAGTAAAGACAAAAAAGGAACTATACTTTGCAAATTCTTTGCTGTCTCAATTACTGGTGGCGCACATTAGTGTTAAAATCAAATTATCCTTCATGATGGAGTTGTTTCAGGCACATTTTTCATTCGTTCCACCATCAACTCTTGTGTTAATTGATTAATGATGGTACATCGGATCGTAGCTTTTTCATCTAGACTTCTCTGATTTATCACTCTCTTTAATGGGTGATATTGAGAAAATTATCAAAAATAACTCTAATTTTGGAATGATTCAACCAGGTGGTGGAGAATTTAATGAGGGTGTGTATACACTTTTTCCGTAGAGCCTTTTTGCTGCAATAAATGTTCTTGTATATTTTTATATCCAATGCCATTAGTTTCAAATGATTATTAAAGAATTCTCTCATATTCAATTATTGTAAGGAAATTAAAGTTCATCAGGTTTTATATTTATATTTATAATAACCATAAAATTCCTCTTTCTTGTCATATAAGCCTGATCAGATTACTTCCACGCTTAATTTAGCATCACTTATCTTTTGATCTTGAAAGCATAGAACACCTGTTTTATAGCCTTGTAAATCTTTGATCAGTGTGAATTGATATTAATAATAATAATAAATGATTTGCTGCTGATCTTTGCATGTCAAATTTGGACGATTTTATTGGTTGATTTGTAGAATTAAAAAATTACAATATATTCTTTCAAGTTTCATAATTATAATAATGATAATATCAATTATCAGTGATTATTAGTGAAGTGATTGGAATAGTATTAGTAGTAACGTCGCCATTGTTGTCATAAGTTGGCGGTAAATTTAAAGATGATAACCAATTAAGTAAACTGTCGGAAGTAATTGCTCTTGTGGTGGTGGCAGTTTCTGTGATTGTTGGTGAGTCATAAGGAGGAGGAAGCTCGTTCCCGTCTTGTTGTCGATAAATTTGTTGCTGTTGGTATAAGTGAAGGAAAGATTCATTATGACTATTTAATATATGAAACAATAAATTTTGTTCCTGGTGACTATTCAACATTTTAACTATTTCAATTGGGTTTTCAAATTTAACAACTTTTTGATTAAAGAACAATTCGCCACCAAATATGAATTTGATTTTTAATTTGTGAAAAATCTTGAAATTACGTGAAGACATTTTCCAATTAACTAAATTATCAGTTTTATTCTTCTTTGTATTGTTTTTCTTGTTAGGCAAAATGATTTCTGGTATTTCCAGTTTTAAATTAATCTTAAATTCATTTTTTGAATTTGATTTGTCATCAACTTGAACTTGATTTCCTTTTATTGTGTTTTGTAAAACATATTGTTTGATTGTTTTGGAAGTATAACTACTAGTTAGTATCTTTTGATATTCTTTCAATCCTATGAATATTTCATTTAGTGACAACGCTTGATTGAAAAATTCTAGTTTTACATCACAAGAAATTTGCTGTTTGGCACTGAAAACCTTGGAATTTATACAAATATCATACCTAAATCCGTAAGATGACTTTCTCTCAAATTTAATTGAGCTTAGACTTGAGAGAGAGGGTAATTTATATCTATCTAATTTAAGGTATAACTGAATGGTTTTATTATAGCCTATTAGTAATGATTTTTTTAAACCAGGTGGCTTTCGTAGGATTGTAGCTTTTAAATAATAATTTATCATGAGTTTGCCATGTCTAATATTTATTGAAGACGGTAGCTCATTCGGGAGTTCCAGTTCGAAGGGAATTTCTAAATCGTTGATTTTTTCGTAATCTTCTGAATGCGAAGAACTATTCCAAATAACTTTATTGAGATCACAAAAAGTCAAGATTCCATTTTCTACAACATTTGAATCTTTTAAATAATCGTATTCTATTCCAATAAAGTTCAATTGAATTTGTTTTATGTAGACTGGTTGATCCGCGGGAAAACTTATATTCAAGATGCCGACTAATGAGAATTCATTCGTTATGCCAAGAAAACCTTTTTGAAGTGTTTTGCTGCCTGGCAAATAACTGAAATAAATGTTTGGCGAGTAAATTTTATACATGGAACGAGGAATTCTATCTGGTGTGATTTCTTCGTTCATATTTTTTGTATTGAATTAAGCAAGAGTTTTTTTTGTGAAATGAATAGAAAATTAATTTGGGACATTTTTATATTGAAAAACAAAAATACAAATTTCTTAATTTGAAAATTATTTAAAATTCACTTTTTTTTTTTTTTTTTTTCCAAGAAATCTGAAACATAAAAACCTTCCTTTTTAATTGATTAATCATTGACAAGCAAAAAGAATTTAATAATATCCTAGACGTTAAAATTTAGAGATAATTTTTAAGGGACCACTAATGTACAATGTTTTTAAACTTTTAAATCATCTTCCCCCGTGTCTGTTGACTGACTGTCTGTCTATTCATTCAACTAATCATCAAAAAATAATTCGCAAACGAGCAAAGCTTGCCTTTCTTTACGTGAGAAAAATTTTTCAGTTATGTTATTATTATGCCTAAATATTAAAAAGAAAGTCAAGTGAAGGCTCAAATGTCACAAGCGTGGTGATATAAATTTACTAGAGAACAATTATAGCCAGGATTAGAAATCAATCAATTAGCATCGAGAATTGTAGTTATTCATCAATCGATGAATATATATGATTAATTAAAATTATCGCTAAAAATTTGTTTTCCATATAAATTTCTCCTTACCCACACACACTGTTGTCTTAAATTATGAATTAATAATAAACAAGTACAACAATAATAAATAATAATAATAGTAGTAATTTAATAATGAATAAAATAATAAATAACAATAAATAAATAAAACAAATATAAAACAAATATAAAAAAAATAAAAAAAAATAAAAAGGAGATAGATTCCAAAAAAAAAATTTTTTGAAATTTAATATGAACGATCATGGATTACTAATTCAACCAATTGACGTCGACACTGAATATATCAGTCTCGTGACTACTAGACCAAATACGAAACAGGGAAAAAAGTCGCTATTAATAGAAACCTTAAACTCATCAAAAGAAAATTCAACTAGTAAAACTTCCCCCTCAACAACAACAATATCTATGGCCTCTCTTTCTAATGATAATTTTAAAAACGATAAAAGTATTATTAATATAAATAATAACAGTGATGATAATAACAACGATCCAATAGTAACGAGTCCGGCAACTTCTACTATTAATACAGCAACTACACAACTATCAACTGAAAATACAAACAATAAGGGTAACAATGGTAATGATAACAGCGATCAAACAACAATTTCAACAGCCTCTGCAACAAGTAATACTCTTTCAAGACAACAAACAAGGTCCACAGTTCGTTCTACAGTTTCTACAATGTTAAATTCTGTTCCTCCATTGACTGTCGCTTCTGTAGGTGCAGCTGCACCAAATCAAGCAACCACAATAACAACACCGTTACCACCATCCAGAAGAAACAGAGGAAATTATTTTATACAAAGTTTCAGAACTATTTCCAGAACCTCCAAAGTTTTATTATTATTGTCTTTAGCAATGGTTGCAATTCAGGTATTATTATAAATATTATAAAAAAAATTTTTTTTTGGCAAGATATAAATAATATATATAACATTATATATACATATTTTTTAAATTTATCCTTCCTTTCTTTCTTTTTTTTTTTTAAAAAAAAAAGGTTGTAGTAACAGTTACAATCCTTATAGTTGCATATCCTAAAACATGTGATAAACCACTCAAAATATTCCTTGTACTTTATATTATAAGAGTGATAATAGCATGTCCTGTAAATGTTTATTTATATTTGAATCCTAGAGACAATAGACGGAATGGTCAAAATGAAAATAACACCAGAAGAGACAATTGGATTGACAGGTGGATTGATAGGTTAATTTAATAATCTATTTTATAAAGACTATTTATAATATAATATGTTTTTTATAAAGATTTTTTTATATTTTAACTATGAATATAACTAATAATTAATACTCTGTTATTTATTATTATTATAGGGTTAAATCTTTTTTAGATTTATTTGCAACTCTTTGGTTTATAATTGGAAATTATTTATTATTTACTACAGAAACATGTCAACGCACTGCACCAGAAATTTTCTATCTTTCACTAACATGGGTAATATTAGGTTATATAATCATCACCATTCCAATATTATTATGTCTTGCCGTAATATTTTGCCTGCCTTGTGTCATAGTGGCAATGAGAGTATTACATGTGGGTGAAGCTGTTGGAATTACCGGTGCAAGTGAGGATCTTATATCAAAAATACCTTCTTACAAATACAAGTCATATGATAATTGTCAACGTGAAATGGAACAAGGAACAATGATAATAGTAGCAACGCCAGCTACAACAACTTCATCGTCCAATAATAATAATGAGGACAATAATAATGTCAACAACAATAACAATAGCAATGTAAATAATACAATAGTTGTGGTGCAACCTTTAAGTAATTCACCTTCTTATGCCTCTGCTGCTGCTGCTGATGCTCCTTCAATTGCTACAGATCAACTAGATCAGCAAAATAAGAAACCTAAATATAAATTTTGGCCCGGTAAAAAATTCAGTAATAAACAATCATCGTTGTCATCTAACAACAACAACAACCATAATAGTTCATCTAATTTTACACCACTCCAATACATCACAATTACGAATCCTGATGATTCAATTTGTTCTATTTGCCTTTCGCCTTATGAAAATGAAGAAGAACTTAGACATTTATATTGTCAGCATCATTTCCATAGAGATTGTGTAGATGAATGGCTTAAGTTAAATAAAAAATGCCCAATGTGTAGAATGGATATTGAAGAAATGATTCCTGATAATAATGATAATTCTAAAAACGGAAAAAACGGTAGTAGCAACAATGATAATGATAATAGTGGAGAAGGTGGTAGTAATAGTAATAACGATGGTAGTAGTAGTTCATAGCAATATTATTAATAAAATAGTAATAAAAATGATGATGTATGTAAATGGGCTTAGAAAAAGTAACGAAAAATTTATAATTAATTAATCAATTAATAATATAATAGATCAATTAATTCATTTGCTTTTTTTAATCAATTCCTAAATTCCATTGACTCATTTTTTTTAAAAGTAATTCATAATAACAATTCATTTATCTACCAACACTAATTATTCTATTCCCATCATTCATTATCCATTCATTAAAATTGATTGGTAAAACTTTTTTTTTATTTTTGTATTATCATCAAATATTATGTTAAAAATATGTGTGTGTGTATGGACTATTTATTTATAGACACACACACATATATATACACACACAAGGAAAAGGAGAGAGGTGGAGAGCTAAATGCTTATAAATATATTAATATTGAATTAAGATATATATATCAGGAATGTATGTATTTTTTTAGTAATAAATATATACAGTTTTATTATTGTGATTATTATATTTTTATTATTTGAAATAGAGTCAATCGAATAAAAAAAAAATTATTATTATTTTTTGTAATTTAATTATATAATTGTGTAAGACAATGTTCAAAAAATTCCCTTTATTTTTGAAAAAAGCATAAATTCAATAATAAATTTTATATATATATATACTTTGCAACTATTAATTATTATTCCTATATTTATAAAATTTTTTTGTTCAATTTATTGAGCTTTGGCAAAGCGTTCAGCAACAGTTTTCCAGTTAATCACTTGCCAAATTTTATTCAAATAATCTGGTCTAGCATTCTTATATTGTAAATAATAAGCCTTTTTCATCAAAAAATTTTTTTTAATAAAATAAAATAATTTTGTGAGCTTAAATGGTTAATGATAAAAAATTATATATATATGTAAATATAAGTATAAGTTACGTACATGTTCCCAAACATCAACTCCGAGAAGTGGTATATGAGCTAATTATAATGATATATGTATGTCACGTGTGTGAGTTTTTTTTAGAAATATAAAATATTTTATTAAATGGATCCTAAAAATATATAATAATATAATATAATATAATATAATAATACTTAACTGATTAAAGGATCTTGATTTGGAAGTGTCAATATGTCAAGACGTTTGTTTGCTTTATTATAACCCTAAATATACACATATATACATGTTTAATTATTAACTGCAGTTATTGTAATTATTCTCGATTTCCCAAAAACATTAAAAGTAAAATTTAAAGCCTTCTTACAAGCCAGCCCCATCCTGAACCTATTTAATTAGAAAAATATATTATATTTGTTTAAATTTTTTCCCGCTTAATATGTATATACGTAATTTAACATATAAATAAAATTCCAAACCTTGAATCGCAGCAGTTGTACCATTGAACTTGCTAATAAAATCTTCAAGTGTTCCAAAATCTTTTTGAATTGCACTTAAAAGCGCACCTATTTTATTCATTCAATTCAATCAATCAACTATTTATAATTTAATTATCTTATTATTAAACAAACAAACAATCACCTTTAGGTGGCTCTCCCCCACCTTCCTTAATTGGTGCAAGATTTTTCCAAAACAAGGAATGATTAATATGTCCTAAATATGTGATATTTATTATTATTGATTGAAATTCAAAAAAAAAAAACCAAAAAATTTTTCTATATTTTCATCAAAAATTACAAAATAAAGATTTATTATTACCTCCACCATTAAATTTCAATGCAGCTTGTAAACTAACTTGTGCAGTGACATCTTGATCTTTAATAGCCTGTTCAAATTTTTCCTCTGCGGCGTTCAATCCATTAACATAAGCTTGATGATGTTTAGTATGATGAACTTCCATTATTTCAGCTGAAATAATTGGCTCAAGAGCCTAATCAATCAATCGTCGTAATAATAATAGTAATAATTGATTAAACGATGAGTTTGTTAATTAATTGTCATCAAAGGTAGATTAAAAACAAATAATGATAATGATAATGATAATTAAATCTTTTTTTTTTTTACATTATAGTCATAAGGAAGATCTGGGATTGTATATTTTGATCTCTTGAGAAGATAACTTGAACTTTTGATTAAGGAAGAAGAGCGTGCTGCGACAAAAGTCTTTGTTGATGTTCGTAGTCCAAACATTTTCTCATGAAAATAATTGTTATATATTAATATTTATTATAACACACATAATAGATAGATTTTGGATCGCGTACACATATCGGGAATTGTATCACAGTTACACGAACATGTAGAAAACCAGTTAATTTTTTTTTAAAAAAGAAAAAAAAATTGATAAATGTCTACAACAACCACAGCAACAACAACTACTACAACAACCGCGACCGCAACAGCAACTGCAAATCAATTGCTTCCTTTAGGTAACGTCTCTATAATTTATCGATTAAATTCTAATGAAAAAGAAATAATGGGGGTTTTTTTTGCATTATCTATTTCCATTAGAATTAATTGATAAATGTATCGGTTCAAAAATATGGGTAATTATGAAAGGCGAGAAAGAATTTACGGGCACTCTATTAGGTTTTGATGATTATGTCAGTATCCTTTCCTTTTTATGTATTCAGAAAAAATAATTTACAATTAATTTTTACCTTAACAATCCATAAAAAAAAAAAAAAGACATGGTATTAGAAGATGTAACAGAATTGTAAGTGTGCGAAAGAGATTACATATGTCATATATACATTATGTTATATATTATACTTATATATATGTATATATTATTATTATTATTATTATTATTATTCAATTAATTATTGAAAACAGCACCAAATTTTAATTAATTGCTTAATTACTTATTGATTTATTTAAGTGAGAATACACCAGAAGGTCGTAAAACAACAAAATTAGATCAAATTCTTTTAAATGGGAATCATATTACTATGGTAACATTTGATTTTATTTTAAAAAAGTAATTATATATATTATGTAAAAGAAGCTGCTAAAGGAGGTTTTTTTTTTAGCTTATTCCTGGTGGCGAAGGTCCAGAAACTTAGGAATTAATAGTTTTTTTCTCTCAATAAAATATATTACGATTATTTTAATTATGGTTGAAAAATAAATTTCTACCCTTAATTTTTTATCAATATCATTCATTTTACATATATATAAATATATATTATAGAAATTAAAAAAATATCTTTAGTAAAAAGTTCATTATAATATAAAGATGCCTTAATTTTGGAATTTAATAACTCTACAAAGTAAAAAAACAGGCAGAACTAATTGTTTGTTAAGATCTTCTTCTTCCGCCATTTCATTCTATCGGTTTAGTTTACTTTTTTCTTTTAAATTTGTTAATTGACTTTTAATAATCATTAACTTTTTCTTTAGATCGCTTCACTGAAGTCTTTTTTTTTTTAATAATACATTACTATAATAATTACAAATAAATAACATCAGTTTAAATATTAATTTTTTAAATAATTAAAACTACTTGGATGGTTATCATCACTATAATAGAAATATAAATAAAACAAAGTGTGGTATAATTGATTTGTAATATAAAAAGAACATTAAAATAGAAAATTAACAATGAGATTGTGTAAATTTAATACTTGCTAGTTATAAACATTGAATGAATTGTTGTTGAAGGATTTCATCCACACTTTTCTTAATATACCATATATAATAATATTACATTAAGTTAATGAAATTAAAATTCTAAGGTTAAAAGTTTATTCTCTTGATATTTTACATTTAAAGATTTTTTAATCCCAAACTTCCAAAGTTTTTGTATATTTTACAATTTTATTAATGCTAAAATAATTTTTTGCAACTTTTTCCATTGTTTCACTAATTTTAATATATTTTCCAGCTAATATTAGCAATTCCAATGATTTTTTAAGTTTTTTGTATTCCATAATTTCTATTAAATGACTATCATCAATATATATATCCCTCACATCCAACAACCCTGTATTTCCTATACGTAAAGCAATCGTTTTTAATAGCAAATCAGAATTATTAAAAAAAGATTTTAATTCATCAGATGAACAATGAAAATCAATCTCCAAATGATTCAACGATTTAGGCAGCACTTTAGCTAAATTTTGTAAAATTTCTTCAGAAGTTCCCAGATACATTTTAAAAGCTTGTAATTCTAAATATTCCAATTTAACACATTTACTTATACCATCAAATAATCTTGATCTGTTCTCTTCAGTGCGATTCTTATCTAGATCACTTATCGTCCCACATAATTGCAACTCTTTGAGTGTTTCTTGTGATGCTGTAATAATTGTTTTGAACGTATCAGTTAAAAATTTTGTTCTAAATAAACTTAATTTTTCAAGTCTATAGAATTTTTTTGTACCATTTGTTGTTTTTTTCCAAATTTCTAATTTACTTCCACATTCATTACTATTACTATTATTATTTCTAATACTATTATCCCTGTAGCCATTGTAGTTATAATTGTAATTATCATTGTTATTATTATTATTATTATTAAAAATTAATTTACAGTATGAAAATAAAAGAGTTTTAATATTTGATAAAGCATCAACAATATCAAAACCTGTAACGTCATGAAAATTAATAAAATAAAATTTTACCCAGCTCAAAGTATTAAAATGATGATTTTTTAATGTTAACAAAATTGGTAAGATCCTAGTATTATTATCCTCTAATCCCAAAGATAATTTCTTAATTTCAGTTTGTCCAGTAAAAAAATCAATTAAACCCATATTAACAAATTCATTATTTTGTAATGATAATGACGAAGAAGATGATGATGCGGATGATGACAATGATGGCATAGTTGTTGATGATATGATTGGTGGCAATAGCGGTGATGGCAATACTGATGATATGGGAGAGAATGTCAAAGAGGAGTAGATGTTAACGATCTTAATGTTGTTACAAATTTTTGTTATGCTAGATAAAATATGATTTTGATTGATTTGTTTGGCTACAAATTTAAATTCCTCAAGATCTGAAAAACTTGATTCGGCTTGTGGGTAGTTGAGCAGGGACTGGAAGTATTCGTTTGGTATACTTGGTACAAAAGTTCTTGACAAATCAAGCCTTTTCAAATATTTACACCGGCTTAGAAATATACTACATAAATATAGTGACAGTCCCAAGGTTCTTTCTCTAATTAAAGTATCGAAATTGCTTTTATACGGTGGTAGTGGTGGCGGTATTGATAATTCTGATGGTATAGATGATGGTGTTGATGATGATAATGATGAATGTTGATCTTCAAATAATTGCCGACTATTTGATTGGTTTTGCAGTTCCAAAAATGTTTTTGAAAACCAATGCCGAACAGATATAAATACCATTTCGTAATTAAGCTCTTTTAAAAACGATATGTAATCAAAGAGGGGTTGCTGATAAGCTACTGGAAGATCATTCTTATAACTGGTGGTATTTATCAAAGATGGTGATGATATTGATTGTGAAGATGAAGATGGCAATGACAATGGAGATGGTAATGTTATCGATGGCAATTCGGTATCAATTGATAGAAATACTTTGCTTTCCTTTTCATTCAAACAAGATACATACACTTGAATTAAACCTGGTAAAGGCTTATGTAGGAATCTAAAAGGCTTACTCCACAAAATCGGTAGAACATTACGACACCAATATCGATTAACTAAAATACATGAAAACAATATATTTGAAATTGCTTCATTCTTGTCGTTGTTACTGCTTCTGTTGCTAGTACGCCTGGTGTGACAACATTGGTTAAGAGCATCTTGATATGATTTTATTAATTGTTCGATTATATTTAGAAAACATTCATCTGGTAATTTATTCATTTTTTTTTTTTAAAACAATATATAAATTTTTTTTTTGTAATGAATGTACGTAACACGTAACACGAGATCTTCCAGATTTGTATATATCCAAATTGGTGTAGCCTTATTTGGAATCAGAAAATTTACATCAGAACGAAGAACCAATGTACCCTTAAGCGCTTGCTGTTGCTTGAAGGAAACGGCTATGTGATTCTATTTAATGGAGATGTCAATTCATTTATTCCTATCTGGCTTTTTTGTTTCGCCAAGTAATCTGTTTCCCGCTATCCATTTTCTTGCCTTGACAATCGCAACAGGGGGAGGTAAGACATTCTTTTATATCACAATACCCTTACTTATGGTTTTGAGTCACCCTGTACAATTACTCCATTAAATCAATTTAATTCTTTTTTTTTTTTTTTGCTATATTTTAATAATTTTATAAATGTGACGATTTTTCAGAGGCCTTAGTGATTGAAAGTTTGTAATACTAGTAAAATGCTAATAAAACATACTATTTTCAAACCACCACTAATCTTCTGTCTTCAAGGATATGGGCACTGAATTTGCATAAAGATAGTATATGGAAACTTTTCTAGCAAAAAGGGCCCCAGTAACCTATGTAATTTCCGAAGCTATTAAAACAACCTGTTATTATTTGTTACACTGATTTCAAAAAAAATTTTGTCTGAAACCTATGAAATCGTAAGAGAGTTGATGATTTCCGTAAGGCCAGACATAGATTAAACCAAAAAACCATCTTTGAATCAAAAATATATAAATAATAGTTTTGAAAAGGTGTGTTTTTGTCTCATTTTTTTTCAGATCAAACTTATTCAAGTTGGAACTTTTGATAAAGGCTGAGACATACACTTTTATATTGTATTGAAGAAATATGCTTTGGAGAAAGAGAAATTGATTGTTTTCACTAGTATGTATGAACATGATCAGTAAATCAGTAATAAGTACATAAATAAATGAACCATTGTTAATTAATAAACATTATGGATATCTATTCTTCTTATATATGTAACAAGTTTTCTTATTTTTTCTCATTATCAATCTTATGAAGATGGTTTTTTTATATAATTATCCAAAAAAACTTTTTTAAACGTTGATAGAAAAATTACTATTGTTAAAGGATTTTGTAATGTAACTATTTATAGAGTAAAAGTTGGATTTCCTCACACTCTTGTGATGACTTTAATATTTCATATAATCAGGTATTATATACAAATATCTAATTTAAAGGATAAATTTAAAGCTACAAAACAACATCCAAAAATTTATTACAATGTATAAAACAATAATATACAAACTTATTATTGGTAAAGAACTGATGAATACACCATGTTTGAATAGATATTATAAATACAAATATATTTCTCTATTTGCAGCTTTAGTATGGGAATAGTAATGTGGTTGTTTTATCATGATCATTATGTGTTGCAATCATATATGCAATATTTATACTTGGATTCTGATAATGGGATTCCCTTAGAAATTTCTTGTGGCATAATAAATAATGTTTATATTTTTTTTAATTGATGTTTTAAAGAAGAAAATATTTGATTCATAATTAAATTTTGTAATTTATAGTTCCTGGTTGATTTAATAATCCAATAGAAAAAATTTATATTTTTTCAAAATAAATTTACCCAAGTAATAAAATTTCATTAAATTAGGTTTCTCATGGTTACTGACATCTGAACTTATTATGTATATTGGTTTCCCCCACAGTTAATGGTTTCATATTTGAACAAATTATAAGATTGTTCCTTGAATGTGCAGCCATTGGTTCTACCCTTAACTTGTCTAATTCATTATGAAGTACTTCTTGTTCTTTAGTTACAAGATTATTATAAAGAAGATGATAATAATGTTTAATAAAAAGATTTTAAATTTTCTATTATTTAATGTGGTTTAGTAACGTTGTATGTGGAATTAGCCAATCAAATATGTGTGAAAATTCTTTTTAATTGGTTACGAGTTTTGTATTCCCAATCATCTATGTACGGTGGTAAATATTATATTTTCACAATAATCATAATAAATGTCAAATTCAAATTTGAATCCAAAAAAGAATCGTTTTGAAGAATTAGAAGTTATAAGAACAAAACTAGATGTATCGTTTGGGGAAATATCATCATTAGTAGATTCATGGTTAACACCAGCCGATCCAATTGAAGAGGAAAAAGAACGAGAAGAAGAAATAAAAAGACAATTAGAATTAACAAAACGAATTCAAAATCGATATACTTCAAAGTAAGGAAACAACCATATAATTGATTTTTTATTAAATTAAGTTTTTTTTCGATTTTCCTGAATACAAGTAATTATTTTTTTATACTAGGATTGGATTAAATATAACCAAGAAAGATAAATTAGTTTCAGAATTAAAATTAAAACGTAAATTAACAAATGATAATAATAATGATGATGATGATAAACAAGATGATGATTATAAAATAATAAAAAAGACATTATATAATAAAAAAGTTTATAATAATAAAGGTGCTGATGAAGATGATGAAGATGAAGATAGTAGAACTTCAATAATAAAATCTAAAAAATCTAAATTAAATAATGATTCTGATAAATTAATTGATAATAATGATATATTAGCATTGTACACTAAAAATAAAAACAAAAAAATAAAATAAAATAATTTATTTTTATGATAATAATTAATTATATTATATTTATTATTTTTCTCTGCTGAATCTTTATTTGCTTTCATCAGTTAACATCCAAGCAGGATCAAATTTTAATGGATTTGTTAGAATTGAATTGGGAAACGTATTATTAATTCCACCAATAGAAGTATACCTAATAATAAAGAAAATAAGACAAAGAAGAATTAATTAAATAATCAAATTAACATTTAATATTATGTTTAATATAACTTACCCCAAATTATATAATTTACAATATGGAATATTTAATGTTCTTAAAATTCCCATATATCCACATAACTCCAATCTAATATTGGATAGACTCACATAAATGGAGGCCAATCTGGGTCAGTTGGAATGAATTTGTTAATAAATAAATGATTAAATAATATTTATCAGGTAAATTTATACGCATGAATTAATTAAATTTACCTCCATGCGAATCATTTCTTCTTACACCAATTAGTATTCCTTTAACTTCTGGTTTTAATTCAGAATATTTTTCCGATGCCTTTTTCATTGACTCTTCTATTATTACCAAGTCTAAATTATAATGTTTGATACTTTCTTCTATAAATTCTTCAACTTCAGGAAATGGTTTTGAATGTTTAATATATAATGTTTGTATTTTAGGCATCATTTCTAAAGATCCTTTTTTTGTTATATAATGTTTATTAAACACTACTGCTTTATAGAATTCCTCTTTTTGGGTTGAAATATAGAATGTCAAAGGATAAACAAGTATGACCCAAAGGAAAACAGTGCTCATCATAAATAATTACTTGATAAAAAATCCTGAACAATGAAAAATACAAATATAATCATTGATAAAAAAAACCTGTTGCACATATGTACCTATTAGAAAAAATTCTCCAACTAAATTTTAGGCACGATGTCAATTTTTAAACTTGGTTTGAAATCCAATTGTTTGCTACGTCAATGCTAATATGGTCACTATGTATTTATTGGCATTTTCTCCTAAAGTTATCTTATGAACATTTCAAACATCTAATCAGTTTATTACTATATATATTTTTTTCGTCATCAGAGCAACTTGGACCCATAAAATTCACCCCTGCATAGACCTATTGTTTCTTTGTTAATAATATGTAAGGTCTTTTGCTGGTGCTTCTCTTTACTTTCAAGATCATGCTTATCACTAAAAACATCAATTTATTAGTGAAGAATTAAGGTAAATAAAGTCTCGAAGAGAATACTTACATTATAACATGAATCCTTGTAAAGCCACTGATTAAAGTTTCAATTAGATCATTGATAAATTGTGCATGTGTTTGTTCATTGATGTTTTCTTCATTGGATGATTCTTTTTCTCAAACTTTTTGCTATTCTTTATTTATTTATAAAACAAATACACGAAATTTACTCATAAAATTTAAACATTGACTACATGGATATATTTATACTATTAAACAATTCTTTTTGCCTAACGTTGTAAGAATATTAAAAAATTACTTTGTTAATATTATACTTTGCTCATTCAACACACTATATAATATACGTTATGATGAAACATAATCGTCTTTTATTTTGCTGATTCCTTTACAAAATTTAGAATGGTAGATATTTTCTATCCCTTAAACCGTAGAAGTCACAAATATGTGACTTAAGAGTACAGATTTATAACATGCAATTTTTACATATCATTTCCTAATTGAAAAA